TGGCCGTACAAAAGTTAAAGCAAATGGTAAATATTTGGCTGACAAATCAACAAGATCTAGCCAATCACGATCATTGTGTCACCTGGCCAATAAAAATTTATCATGTGATTCTGCTCCGCTTTAGCCATCCCCCTTAAAAAGAAAATTCATATTTCACAGATTTGGTTGCATTTTATATTTTTCTCTAGTATCTATTATCTTGATCTTGTGTCTCTCGCCTTTTGTATCGTACTTTGCTTTTTATGATCTTGATCAACTGCTTCATTTTAACTTCGCTCTGAACAGATCTCATTTATATATAAAATACTTATCTATAATATGTATTGTATGTATGTAAGGGGATGCAAAATCGTTTGTATTATGTAAATTGTGTTCCAAATAAGGAATATTTACACTGTATTATATATTTTTAGAAAATGATATATTGTATGATGAATTTAGAAAACATCTTTGTGATTTGCAAAAAATATTTATTCTAACAGGTTAATTTAATAATAATGAGTTGTGTTGATCTCATATTGTCAAACATGACAAAAAAACAAGTTAAACATTTGAAAAATTAATTTTAGAAAAGTTGGCCTGATTTCTATTTAATAATTTATTAAAGTTATTATTTGTATCCATAATTGTCATGTGAAACATCTAATATTAAATTGTTATTTGTCTTTAATTTAAATAATGAGTTAAAGTAAATTTATATCTGCTTAGTTTAACTAGTTGAAATGCGATATTTCTTTAATAAAGAGGCGAAAAAAAAACATCTCGTATTTTTGCTGATATTATGCTATTGTGTGTTCATTTGGCCATGAATGCTCAAAAAAACATTATATGTTTGCAAATAAAATTTGAATACGCCCAACAAATTAATGTTAAATATATTATTTTGTGTTCTTATTAAGATACGCTAATAAAATAACATACCTAAATACTATACCTCAATATAATAAATAATAATAATTCATATATTATAATTAGTTAGAATAAATTACTTCTTGCTCTTATATACTTCTTGAAATATAAATAGGCCAGTTATTTGATAGTTGATTTCATGTCTTTAAAATCGTAAAATAATACCATCTAATTCCTTATCCAAATTACTATCATTGTTCTTTATCTATCTTCTTTTTTATCCACTATAATTTCATTAAAATCATGTCATCCCTATTCATATCATTCTGTTTTATTAAAACTGTTACAGAGAATGAAAAATACGTATCCAGAAGTGCCTTGTATTAAATAAAAGATGATGGAGAATCTTTTAGAAAAATTATCTACAAAGGATTTACTGAATCTTCAGAAACATTAATCGATGATTTCGAGAAAAATTCTATTGTACCCATTATCAGACGATATATTTATGATGAAGATGTGAAATATGTTAATAAATGATATAGTTTGTAATCGGTTTTATTTATCTTATATTAAAATCGTTTTTAATATATGAAAAATAAACCCAGTTCGAGCTTAATTATATAATTGCGTTCATTTTACCCTATAATTCTTAAAAAACTAAACTGTCTCAATTTAAAATCCTTAAGGTTACTCTTATTCAAGCTATCCTGATTTCGTACTTTCCTAATGATACATCAATTATACCCGAAGATCTTTCTTATTCTTTTTCTCTGATGATTTATTCTGCTGCTGCAGTTACTAATTCTTTCCAATCTAATGATGAAGTTGGGAGACATAGTTTCATGATGTTCAGGCGATTGTACAATAGAGTGACCAGTAAAAAAAACATTGAATCTAATGTTATCGTATTTTATACAAACCAAAATGGTCAGTATAATTCTCTCAAAGAAAATTTAAAAAAAAATGGTTATATCAGTAATTAGAAGATTCAAGATCGGATCACATAAAAGAACACCCCATATAATTACATTAGACATCAAATAGAATTATGTAAGTAATATTAATGAATCCCAAACTTCATCCTCGTCTAATAAAGGAAAAGAGAAACTCTGTGATAAATTAGATAACCAACTTGACCTTATAGAAGAGAAATATGCTAAAATGGATACTCAATCTTCAAAAAAAAGAAAATTAAATAATTATATTCCAAAACCAAAACCGCAAAAAGACGAATCATCATCTACTAATTTTACGGACACGATCTCCCAAATTAAAACTGGTGAACCTCCTGTGCAAGAAAACTCTGATGATACAGTTAATAGTCAAGATATAGATTCGGATTAATATTTTTTATATCAAATAAATTTAATAAAAATAAAAAATTAGTAAATAAAAATTAATATATTATGATATATGATACATAAGCTAATTGTCTAGTTAATGCAGACCAAATATTTAAGTTAACTGAATTATAAAAATAAAAACAAATCCAACTTATCTTAAAAATTATATATAAATATATCCGTTAGATACTCGTAAATTTAATAATTAATCACTCTAAATCAATATTTCAAAAAAAAAATATGTTTAACTATCAAGTTCAAACTTTTCCTCTTTTTACTTTTCAACACATATACAATCTAATTCAGAAAATCCACAAAATAATCGTTTATTTGACCCTTATATATTCAGAAATGAAATAAATTAAAATTTACCAAATATGCTGATTCTTGATAATGATCAGATACAAACTGAATCAGACTTTCTATATCTACTCAATCATAATCTAATCTCTCAATGGGTTAACCTTCAACACCTATTAAATGAATTTCAAACAAAAATATTATATGACTATCCATGTATTCCTTGTATCTA